TGCACGGTGCCAGGTGGGCACTGGAAATATCAGGGGGACCACTCTGTTAAGTATATGATTTCCCAACCACTATTCAGTGAAAACTGTAATTAAAAAATAATTTTTTAAAGTGTGATTTAATACCAATTGTTGGATAACTCTCTCCACCAAGGTGGTAAAACTGGTATCTTGACTTTCCCGATTGTCATACATGTACTTAACAAGCTTGGCAATTGTTTCTGTGTCTGTTTCAGATTCAAAGTCATAACCTTTACTTTCCTGTAATTAGAAAGAAAAAAAAAATTGGCACATTTAAGGAAATATTCATCATATCCAAATCTTATCTACAGAATTTTTTTTTCCTCAAAAATCTCACTAATCAATTTCTAATCTTTTTGACCACCATACGCCATTACCCACTGTTCAAAATTAAGGTAACAGGAGGCAAGTCAAGATGGTGGCATAGGTAAACACAGTACTTGCCTCCTCCCACAACTACATCAAAATTACAACTGAACTAGAAAATAACCATGATTCAGAACCACCTGAAATCTGGCTGAATGGAAGTCCTACAATTAGAGAATTAAAGAAGACGACACATTGAGACTGGTAGGAGGGGCAGAGGCGCAGGGGCTGGTCCGATATCCGTATGTGTTATCTTTTTAATCAGGAGGACTATCTTGGCTTATGCAGAGGTTCCTCATGAGGAGCAAAGGGTTCCAGTCCCATACCAGACCCCTCAAGCCTAGCCCCACACCAGACCCTGGGAAGAGAAGTCTCTAACTTCAGGCTATAAAAACCAGTGGAGATTGTGGCACAGTTGGGTTGCTGAAGTCCCAGGCAGTTCCTTTTAAAGGGCCCACACACAGACTTACTCTGACTCATTGCCTCTGAGCTCCAGTGCTGGGGCAGCAACTTGAAAGGATCCAGGAACATATGGGAGGAACTAATTTGTCTGGCATCAGGGCAAGAACTGGGGCAGCTTTGTCCCACACAAAAATGCTGGCAGAGGTACAGAGAAGACCTCCCTGCCACAATGCCAACAGACAGTTGCAATATCTGAGTATCCATCAACTTGGCCCACAAGTTTGCTCCACCCTCATGATTCCCTGAGACCCCACCACACCCAAATTGTGTGCCCACTCAACCTGTTTGTAGTGGCTTTTCCATATAAATGGCCTCTTGGCTCAGGCTTCAGACTTTCCTAATATCTCTCAAACAAGCAGCAGCTGGCCTACCATGCCCCATACCTTTCAATAAGTGGCCCTAGAACCAGCAATAGCAGCAGCCTGCCTTGGTTCACACCTTGGCCTCTCCTGGGCACCTCCAAGCCCAACACAAGTAGCAGCCATCTGTAGATCACTCCATAGCTTGACGGGTGTCCCCAGGCAGGGCACAAGCAGTAGCTGACTTTGCACCTCCCAGGAGGCCTCAGAGCCACTATACCCAGTGGTCAGCTTCAGACCATGCCAGATTACAGCCTATCACATCCACCAGTGACATACTGAAGGGGCAGACTTGGTGAGCACCAAAGCCCCACTAAAGCAAGTCCTGCTCCATAAGGGTGTCTCCTACACAACAGCTCTTCCTCTGTAGTCAAAGCTGGTCTGCACAGCCAATTGGCCTGGGGGTCAATCCCTTCCAGTGATGCCAAAAGCAATTGAGGCTCAACTACAACAGGAAAGCACATACAACCCACACAGGGGCATACTTAGAGTGCCCAGCTCAGGTGACTGGGGAGGCAAAGCCACAGGGCTCTACAGGACACATAATACACAAGGCCACTCTAACAATTCCAGGTGACATAGCAGCTCTACCTAATACATAGAAACAAACACAGGAAAGTAGCCAAAATGCAGAACAAAGAAACATGTCACAAATGAAACACAGAAAAAGAATTAAAGAAAAACAAATAAATAAAATGGAAGCAAAAAAGGAGGAGCCTCTGGGACAACTTCAAGCATACCAACATCCGAATTATAGGGGTGCCAGAAGATGAGAGAGAGCAAGATATTGAAAACCTATTTGAAGAAATAATGACAGAAAACTTCCCTTACCTGGTGATAGAACAAGACATACAAGTCCAGGAAGCGCACGATGAACCCAATGAGGCCCATACCCAAGACATAATTAAAATGTCAAAAGTTAAAGACAAAGAGAGAATCTTAAAAGCAGCAAGAGAAAAGCAGTTAGTTACTTACAAGGGAGCACCCATACGACTGTCAGGTGATTTCTCAACAAATTTTGTAGGCAAGAAGGGAGTGGCAAGAAATATTCAAAGTGATGAAAAGGACCTATAACCAAGATTATCCAGCAAAGCTATCATTTATAATTAAAGGTCAGATAAAGAGCTCCACAGACAAGAAAAAGCTAAAGGAGTTCATCACCACCAAATGAGCATTAATGAAATGTTAAAGAGTCTTCTTTAAGAAGGAAAAAAAGGATAAAAAATATGAACGATAAAATGGCAATGAATACATATCTATCAACAACTGAATCTAAAAATCAAAATAAATGAACAAGGAATCTAATGAATAAAATAAATTGATGAATAAAATAGAATCAGAAACATGGAAACATGGAACAGACCAAAAAATCTCAGAGGGAAGAGGGGGGGTGTGGGTGGAAAGTGATTAACTAAAGAACTTACATGCATACATGCATTACCCATGAACACAAACTATAGAGTGGTGAAGGCCTGGGACAGGGTGGATCTGAGTGGAGGGAGACAATAAGGTGAAGAACGGTGGGGAGGGGTGAGGACACATCTATAATATACTCAACAATAAAGTTTTAAAAAATAAAAATAAAATAAACAACCCAGCTGGTGTGGCTCAATGGTGGAGTACCAACCCATGAACCAGGAGGTCAGTTTGATTCCCAGTCAGGGCACATGCCTGGATTGCAAGCTCGATCCCCAGTACGGGGCGTGCAGGAGGCAGCCAAACGATGATTCTCTCGCATCATTGATGTCTCTATCTCTCTCTCCTTCTCCCTTCTCTAAAATCAATAAAAATATATTTACATAAATCTATATGCCAATATGAATTAAATTTTAAATAATTAAAATATAAGAAAATATATAATATAAAAACAAATCCCATAATGAATATGATAATTCTTTATTTTACAATGATATTTTACTATGTAATACTATAGACATTAGATATACGTGGCTATTTAAATTTAAATTGATTAAAGTGAAATAATTTCAAATTTAGTTCTAGTCATACTAGCTCAAAAGCCACATATGGACAGTGGCTACTATATTGGACAGTACCGATATGGAAGGTTTCCATCACTACAGAAAGTTCAGTTGGACAGACCTGAGAAGCCATTATAAAAGTCATCATCATGATCATTACTAGGTAAGTACATAGCTATTTAGGGCATAGAACCTTCATTTAATCTGTTCTGATTCCTCTTACATATCCTAGAATCTTTTAAAAATGGCAAACAAGGTTTCTCTTAATGCAAAAGACATAACCCCAAAATTCCAATTTTAGTTGAGCTTCTGGATCATTCTTAACAAAGCCAAATAATTGTTTCCTTTTCATATAAGGAACAAAAATGTTCCACTGTCAACAAAGAAAAGTCCAATAAACCACCATACCCTTGAAACTGTCTTAGGTATTACTTGATCACACCTAGATAGTATTTATTGCACATCTCAACAAACAACCTCACTGCTCTCATTAGAAGTATTGTCAAACACTGGTGGTCTTTTTAGGTCAATTTACTTACCAAAAACTTTTTCAAGTCTTTGTAGTTGGTGATGATTCCATTGTGAATAACAATAAATTCTAAAAGAGATAAAGAAATTAATGACCAAAAATTATAGGTCTAGTAAACATTATAAACAGTCATTACTGTTAAAGAGATTTTTCAAAAAAGACAAAAAATGTGTCACATGCTATACTTCAAGGTGTAATCAAGTAGTATCTACTTTTTGTTACCAGATTATCCTTGGGTAGATCAGCAGCACAGTTTATGTGGCTAATTGAAGTAAAGAGTGCCAGGGAGGTGGGTACAGTGGGGAAATACAATAAGCTGGTGTCTAGAGCAGCCATGGGCAAACTACGGCCCGCGGGCCGGATCTGGCCCGTTTGAAATGAGTAAAACTAAAAAAAAAAAAAAGACCATACCCTTTTATGTAATGATGTTTACTTTGAATTTATATTCACACAAACACTCCATCCATGCTTTTGTTCCGGCCCTCCGGTCCAGTTTAAGAACCCATTGTGGCCCTCGAGTCAAAAGTTTGCCCACCCCTGGTCTAGAGTCATCAATTTCAGCTGTGGCTAAATTTCTAACCCAATATCACCATGTGAAAGGAGCAAATTCCTTGGGTATATGTGCTCATTTGCAAATTGAGAAGGTTGAACTAAATAACTATTATTCTCACTTCTTTATTCATCCATTCTTATGCATAAAACATTCCTAAATTTAAAGAGAAACCTTTCAAACTAATACAATTATCTGATTGCACTAAATGAACTTAAGAACTAAAGTTAAATAAATTAATAAGAAAAACAAGACATTATTCAGTTCTATAATTAAATCTATTTATCTGAGGTCCAGACAATTCCTAAGTGATAAATAAATGTTAAAACAGAATCCCCACATCAAATACACATGATAGTGGGATAATTTTCAACTTTATGAAATAACTTTGAAGAATGTAAAAATGGATAATCAAGAGTCGACAATATTATTATTTATAGCTACTGACAATGTAAAGATCACTAATATAATGTATTATTTAAAGTTCATGTAAGTGAAGAGAGAAATTACCACTAAATTCAATTTTATATTAAATTATAAAAATGCTTTTAAAATACTTAACAATCTGATATTTTGACCTGACATTAAATGTCAGGACTAAATGCATTACAACCCAGATAATAAATTAAGCATTTTCACTAGATTTTTTAAAAAGAAGAAAATGATACCACAAAATACTACCACTACCAAAAAAAAAACCTAAATATTTTTAATGCTAGAACACAGAGAATCATAAATAGCTAACAGTTGACATAAAGACTTAATTAAAGCCAAATTCTCAAAATATAATCTAGATATGTTTTTAGGAATTTTTTATAAAGGCCTTGTCAGAATTAAACGTGTGAGAGGTTAGGTTGTTAGCATTCTAATCTGGTTCAATGATAATTATGTGAAGCATAGAAACCTAAAACAGCAGCTTCTTAATTAAATTATACAATCTTATCTCAAAAGGGATGTATATACACACACATACATATATACACACATACTTTTGTATGTATTTACTTATTTAACTAGAAGCCCGGTGCACAAAATTTGTGCAAGAGTAGGCCTTCCTTCCCCCAGCTGCCAGCATTGGCTTTCCTCTGGTACCCAGGAGCCGGGCTTCCCTAGAAGCCCCGGCTTCATCCAGAAGGTTGTCCAGAAGGATGTCTGGTCCAATTAGCATATTATGCTTTTATTATTATAGATTTTTAATTTTAGAGAGAGGAAAGAAGAGGGAGAGGGAGAAGGAGAGAGGGAGAAAGGGTGGGAGAGAGAGAGATAAATATCAGTTTTGTTGTTCCACTTATTTATGCATTCATTGGTTGATTCTTATATGTGCCCTGAGTGGGAATCAAACCCACAACCTTGCTGTATCAGAGGGACACTCTAACTGAGCTACCTGGCCAGGACTTTCTTTTCTTTTTTAAGAAAACAAAAGAATAGACTCTTTTAAATGGTTATTTCCAGGAAAAGACGGAATAAGAAAAATAAGACAGAAACTAGACTTATTTTAACATGCCTATTTTTTTATTTTATTTTTGTTGTTGTTGTTAATCCTCACCTGAGGATATTTTGCCATTGATTTTTAGAGAGAGTGGAAAGGAGGGGAAAAGACACAGAGAAATATCAATGAAGGAGAGACACATCTATTGATTGCCTTCTACATGCAGCTGCACTGGTAAGTGCCCTTGACCAGAATCGAACCTGGGACCCTTCAGTCCACAGGCCATCACTATTCACTGAGCCAAACCAGCCAGAGTTTAACATGCCTTTTTTATGGGTGTGACCTCAGAACAATGCAAATATTTTCATTTGAAATAAAATTGATTTTTTAAAAAAATCAATCCCTAAAACTCAAAATAAAATAAAATATATTAATAGAATGCTGTATCTAGCTGGTAACACAACTACAGATAGAAGGATTATTCCAAGTGATTCTAAAGCACAGAAATTTGATTATATATCCCTAAAGAGATATACTCTAAGGACAAAAAATTAACAAGAAAAACTAACAAACAACAGTAAATATATTCTTAAGGAAGTGTTGGTATTATGATTATTTTATGTATATCATGTAACAGATAAATAAGTATGTTACTGATGTTAAGAACTACATGAATAAAAGAAAATACATAGATCAATCAGGTAAAGTCAAAACCTTACAACCCTGAATCTGAGTTAGAATTGCTAGTGTAAAATTACGTTGTTTTATCTTTAAATTTATACGTGTGCAAGTGCACACACAGAGGTATGTGTATCTCCTAGCTCTGCCCACTGAAAAGACCTATGTGTGATGAACACTTCTAAGACCTGGCTTATAGTCTTTAAGTATCATTTCCACCAAAAAGAACTGGGGCTTCCTTAGAGAAATGGCTGATTCCAAGCATGGGGCAGGAGTAGAGGAACGTGGAACATCTTGGCCTACCAGAAAATAACAAAGACTATTGAGTCTACAGGGTTCATGTCAAAAGGACTTAGAAGACAACCTGAGTAAGTTCTCAATGGTCAAAGATTTTTGTGTATCAATATAGACAATTACTTCAGTGTTTTGAATCATATGAAATATTTTAACCCATGATTTTATAATTTTAAAAAGAACTCATTATTCATTTTAGAACATATGAACCACTTCGTTTTTTAAAAATGGTAAATGAAGGGGGCTGGGGGGAGATAAAACATTAATCCTGCCTTTCCTATACGCTCTGTAACTCAGGGTAACCAAGCTGTTGATATGGAGAAGATTCTCTTTATAGGGAAGTATTTGAGATAATAAATGAAAGAAGGAATGATAGTACTAGACTATCACCAATTTAAAACCCCTAAAGAAATAATCTTGGCAATGATCATCAATGACTGCTAACAACACAAAGAAAAACATCCAACATTATGAAAAGAAAAGAAATTCTGAGATGTCCTAAATTAAATTACAGCAGGCCAGAGGGTGGGAAGAAGAGGCAGGGAGAGTTAATCAGTTAACAGAAACAGGAACAGAAACAAACAAAAGACTGCTAGCATTCCTTAATGTATGTTGAAACTTTGAATCAACTTCTAGGCCCCTATTTCAGTTCTTATCTAGAGAGAATAGCCAACCACCAGATGGCACCCACCACATCCTGTTTACACATAAACTTTCTGGGCTGTTGCCCACAATCAATCCAAAAGCACCAAACACTTCTTCCTTACCATACACCTCTCCCAGAACTAGCCCTGCTTCACCTATTCCCACACCCCTTATCTATAGCCAATGTAAATTCTTTCAAAACAACTTATAGCTTTCTTCTCCAAAATCATCATATAAAAGAACTCCATCAATCCCAGGATGGTGGGCATATTTGTCTTCCCAACTAGCCCTACTGATGGTGGTCTAAACTGTCCCAGAAACTGGTCCTTTTTCTGCCTAGCTTATGGCTCAATAAATCCTTTCTTTCAGAAAAACGTTCAACCTCAAAGGTTATCATTTAACAATTATATACCTGCAGTTGTAAACAAACACTGTACCAATCCTATATAATAAAAGGCTAATATGCAAATAGACTGAAAGACAGAATGACTGGTCACTATGACACGCATTGACCACCAGGGGGCAGACACTGAACGCAGGAGCTGTCCCCTGGTGGTCAGTGTGCTAACACCGGGGGAGTGCCACTCAACCAGAAGCCAGGCTCATGGCTGGCGAGCACAGTGGCAGTGGCAGGAGCCTCTCCCGCCTCCGTGGCAGTGCTAAGGATGTCCGACTGACGGCTTAGGTCCGGCAGGGATTGGGCCTCAACCATCAGTCGAACATCCCCCGAGGGCTCCCGGACTGCGAGAGTTCGTAGGCTGGGCTAAGGGGACCCGCTCCCCCTTCCCCCAGTGCACGAATGTCGTGCACCAGGCCTCTAGTTTATAATAAATAAAATGGACAGAGAAACGTATTAAATGACCCACAGGATGCATGCAATTAACATGATCTAAACTATAGAAAATTCTATAGGACAAACAGAGTAACTGTAAGGAAAAAGGAGAGAAAGGGAGAAGTCTCCTAAATCCTTATCTTTTAGAGATACACTCTTAAATATTTACAAAATAAATATTATGATATCTAGCTATCTGTGATATATCTATCTATACAATATCCACTAGCTTCCAAGATAATCTAGGTAGGGGCTATGGATAAACATAACTGATCAGATATTGATAAATGTGGAGGCTGGGTAATGGATGCCTCAGGTTCTATATATTCTCTATATATGAATATGTTTTAAATTTTCCAAATTAAAATTATGAAAACATAAGAGCTTTCATTCTTTTCCCATTATCGAGCCTCTACAATCATTCCAAAGCATTTTTATGTCCATACCATTATTTTTATCAGAGCGCTGGGGATGGCTATTGACAGGATTGGGTTCGCCGTGTGTTGCCCAACGGGTATGAGCTATTCCAAGGTGTACATCAAATTCTATATCCAAATCCATATCCTGTTGTTCTGAAGATAAAATGAAAAATTCCAATATTAAATCATGCTGTAGAGATAACGCTATATTTCAATGTAATTATTACAGCACTGTTTACCTGGAATATACAATTATTAAAACTGAAGATCAGGCATACTCAAAATAGTAATTAAAAGATTTAGAGGAGTTAATGTAGGATGCAGCTGAAATATTTAAAACAAATGGTTCCAATAACAACCCAAGAAAATGTATTCAGAGAGATAAAGCACCCTGGCCCAATTGGTTAGAGCACTGTCCCATGCACCAAAAAGGTAGTGAGTTCAATTCCTGGTCAGGGCACATATCCAGGTTATGGGATCAATCCTGGCAGGGCACATGCAAGAAGCAACCTATCAAAATTTCTCTCTCTTTCTCTCTCCCTCTTCCTCCCTCACTCTCTCCCTCCTTACCTTCCTCTCTCTAAAATCAATTTTTTTAAAAAAAGATAAAGCAAATGTGACAATGTTAACAATTGGTAAAGATAGATGAAACATGGGTCGTTAATGTATTTTTTCAACTTTTCTGGAGGCTTAAAAATTTTCACAATCAGGAGTTAAGGACAAAGAGAGTGAATGTGATTTTTTAATCTATATTTAATCTTCACTTTGGAAATAATCAGTAGTTTTAATTAGACATGTAAAAGTAAATTCATTTTCTCAGTGCCACAAGCCTTATGACTATAATTTCTTTGGTCCCCAAACATATCTCACAATATAAACTGCAATTATGGAGAGCTTCCAAAATCAAAGAATAGGTTCTTGTGAACAAAGCAACACTGTGAAAATATGGGGTTAGAGACTGATGCTCCTTGATCTTGTAAAGCAGCTATTCTGATTCCTTTTCCCTATGAACTCTCTCTTCTTGCTTCTTCCGGGGGTAGGGGGGGAGAGAGAAAAAAAGGATAGTTCTAGTTACTTAACAGTAATGCCCTTCTTCTAATTTCCTAAATATAAAATTCATTTAGCTAAGATAAAGCTTATCAGATAACAAAGTTTATCAGAATTAGGTCTTAATTAGGAATAAACTGCTCAGAACTCAGAATGTCCATGCACTTTAGCTTAGTCTTTGGCATAGTTTTTGTGGTTTTTATACTGGCTAATGAGAGGTCATTCTAAAATACAAATCTGATCAAGAAATAAGGTTTAAAATCCATGAATAGACTTCCATTGCTTTAAAAAGCGGTATGCACATATGAATCATCCTAAACCTAGTCACAGAGATTTGCAAAAAGATCCTCAAATTCTAACATATAACCAGAGAGCCATTTTCTCAAAATAAAGCCCAATACCTTTTCATAGCATATAAGGTACTACATATCTATCCCCTATCTACCTTTCTATCCTCATCTCCCACCCCTCATCACTGTGACCCACGCCACCACCATCTCTCACCTGAACTACTTCGACAGAATTCTTACTAGTCTCCTTGTATCCAGTCTTCCATCTGTACAATCTAGTTCTGCACACCAACAAAAGTGATCCTTTCAAAACGAAGTCAGATCGTGTCACTCTCCTACACAAAATTTTCTAATGGCTTTGCATGACACACACAGTAAAATCCATCATTCTTAAGATCCTTCATGACCTAGCCCTCAGCCACCTCTGTAGCTTCATTTCCTGCCACTCTTCTCACTTACTGTGCCCTAGCCTCACTGACTTTCATCCTACGATAGCCAAGCCCTCACAGGGTCTTTGCACTTGGTGTTCCCTCTGCCCAGAATTCCCTCTTTCAGACAATCACATGGCATCTGCTCAAATGTCACCTCTACTATACTTTTTCTTCATAGCACTAATCACTACTTAACATTATATATTTATCTGCCTGTTTCATTAAACAGTAAACTCCATCATGGCAGAGGGTTTTGCCTATCTTGTTCTGTTTTGCCCTCAGGACCTAGAATGATGGCTGATATATAATAGGTACTCAATAAATATTCATTTTATTATTGAATTCTCAGAATACTGTGGGAGGAGGGGCACTTTTTTCTCCATTTTACAGATTTAAAAAACTGAGGCTCAAAGAGATCACAAAATCTGCCTACCAAAGCTCATAGTGAATAGTAAGTAGAGATAGGATTTCAACCCAAATCTTGTTTACCCCAGAGCCTAAATTTAAAACCACAATGGTGCCCAGCCGATGTGGCTCAGTGGTTGAGGGTCAACCCATGAACCAAGAGTTCACCAGTTCAATTCTCGCTGGAGACACATGCCCAAGTTGTGGGCTCAATTCCCAGTAAGGGGCATGCAGGAGGCAGCCAATCGAGGTTTCTATCTCTCTATCCCTCTCACTTCCTCACTCTCTAAAATCAATAAAAACATATTTTAAAAAAACACAGAATGGTAAACTCTGCTGCACTATTTATTACATTTATGACGTTGTCAATCTGGCTTCCATCAGAATTTGAGTTCTACAAAAGCAGCAGCTTATCTTACTATCTTTGAACTGTAAGCACTAAAAGCTAAATAAATAGGGCAGATACTCAAATCTTTATTGGATGGCTCCAACAATAAACAGATACATTCATCAATGCATTCTTTCCTGGCTTACCTGTGTTCTGAATAATTAAGATGGCCTAATAAATGACCTCCAGATAAAGGATACTGTTTATCACTAGTTAACAAGCTAATGCAAGTAATAAAAGCATCTAATTAGTTTTAAAAAGGCTAACTATAATTAAAGCATCTCCCCCAACATGCTGGCAAGCAACATTGGAGAAAGAGTCTTTAACAGGAATCTGTAAGTTAAATCCATATCAAGTTCATGCTAATTACCAACTCTATTTACTTAACTGTTGCCATTTAAGAAACATGTACCCATGTTCCTTATTCATTAAGCTGATAGGTCATTCAATTCCCCAGCCATTCATGACATCTTTTCTATTCTCCTTAAGCCTCAATACTACCTATATTCCTTCAATTTCCACTTTATTAAGCTTTTCCCTCTTACCTCATAACTGTCTAACTTAGCTTTTCTTTAATGTTTGACTCCTATAAAGGTTAACTCTCTCCCTGTGCCTTCACTTATCTGAGCTGTAACCCCTCAATAATTTCCTTACTTGTATCTTGTGTCTTCTCACCAACTTCATGCCCAAGGCTTTTTGCCCTCTTCATACCTTTTCTTAGATGTCACCCTTCTCTTTTTTAATAATTCAAATATTTAAATTTGCTGGCAGTGATAAAGACTCAAATACCTACATCCAGAAATAACAAACGTCAACATAAATGGTCCTACTCCTTACATATCCTAGCCTGCAGGTTGCTTTTTTCGCTCAACATTAGGTTCCCTGTAATTCTCCAGGTCCTCACATGCAGAACCAGACCCAGTGCCCTCCTTTCAAAAGCTACATATGGTCACTCACTGTCATTACAATTTATTATCCCATTCCCTTACTGGTATTAATTATCCAAAATTAATAAGTCACTGTGAAGAGCAATCTGGCCATGTCTATAAGAGAAATGCCTGTGCCCAAGCACCTCTACTGTTGGTTATATACTTGAAAAAAAATACTGTGGACAAGGAGCATGACAAGATTCACTGCAGCAAAATGTAGAAACAACCTCTATGTCTACCAATATCACCCCAATAAATTTAATTTAAAAAAATTTTTAATAGACTCTCTCTCCCACCCAGCTGGCGTGGCTCAGTGGTTGAGCATCAACCTATAAACCAGGTCATAGTTCGATTCCCAGTAAGGGCACATGCCTGGGTTGCGGGCTCAATCCCCAGTGTGGGGAGTGCAAGAGGCAGCTGATCAATGATTCTCTCTTATCAATGATGTTTCTACCTCTCTCTCCCTCTCCCGTCCTCTCTGAAATAAATACACTTTTTTAATAAATTTTTTTAAAAATTTTAAAAAGGACTATCTCCCATTCCATCAACAAACTTGCCTTCCGTAGGTTTGTCCTATAAAAGGCCTTTACTCACAAATTGTGGTTACTTCATTTTAGAATACTGATCTTGCTCTAAATGCAATGCACCTAACTAATTTCCTTCCCTAATTAATATGATCATTTTTGAAGCTCAGGTATATTTTAAAACTAGTACAGACATTAACAAAACTACTTTTCTCCCCTCCCTTCAATATTAATAATCCCTAAATGGGCCCTAAAATATGGGAAGAATGGTAATTTGATAAGGGAGAAGGAAGAAAAGGGGGAGGGGGACAAAAACTAAACTAAGTACATTACTGTGAACTTCTTCATCCAGTGCTTTTACTTTCCCTTTCTTCTTAATGAGCTGGATTTTGCAGGCATTTGCTTCCCAATCTTTGTCATTGCCTCCATCAATTCCCACACCTAAATCATCAAAAGGCAGAATAGCAAGATTTAAAAACTGGCTATTATTTAGATTATCAGTGTGAGGCAAAATTTTTAATTAAAATATTTTTAATCTAATTAATTCATTAACTTATTACCAATTCAACATATACTAAATATCCATTACATGTCAAGAACCAGAACAGCTGCTACAGACAAAAATGAAAATAACCCAGTTCCTTTCCACAAATTTCTAATAGTGTATTGAGAAGACAAAGACAAAAATAATTACATTCAGTCTGGTTTCAGATTATAAAAAAGTATTATACTAGCCTGTGAATGGAGTAGAGTAGAGAAAAACAGAAGATGGGCACCCATCTCAGAAGCGCGATAAAGAGGGAATGTCAGGACATACTCTCTTCATATTCTACTTAAAATCCTAAGGAGTCTGACAAAGTTACTCTGAAGGTACTAGAAAAGCAGAGTAATTTGCAGTAGAGAAATCACATGACAAAAAAAGTTTTAAAAATCTCTTTGGAAACAGTGTAAGAAGTTAGACTAGAGAAACAGAAAGAAGAAACCAGTTCTCAGAAGTTATAGCTATAGCAAATCTAAAGAAAGAGGGCCTGAACTAAACAATGGGAATGAAGATAGATAGGGGTGATATTGAATAGAAATGACTAGATATAACATGAGAAAGCAGGAGAAGTCTGGGGTACCTCCTAGGCTCAAACAAAGGACTTGGTAATAAAAGGCACACAGAAAGTATTGATTGGAGAGTGGGGTGAAAACTGGATACTCAGTTCAATTATAAACATACAAAAGTTCTAATATCTTGGTTTATTGAGGAAGAAATATCTAGGAGGCTGTGCAATATGGGGAAAACATCTGGATTTTAAGTCACCAACATATGGGAAGCTGGTGAAGTCAGAGCTCACCCATGAAGAAAAGTGGGCCTAGGACAGTATCTTGAAGAACATTAATATTTAAGAAAAAGAGGCCCCAAAGCAGACAGAAAAGAAATAATCAGTATGTAAGGAAGATAATGAGATGTCTTGTCAGAGAAGCTAAGGAAGGAGAGAATTTTAAGAACAAAGTAGTTGAGGAACTGACTTGCTATTAATTGAGGAAAGTCATCCTCCTATATAATAAAAGACTAATATGCAAATTGTCCCCTCAGGAGTTCGACTGCTTGCTATGATGTGCGCTGACCATCAGGGGGCAGTGCTGAATGAAAGAAGGCCCTGGCCTGCGGCCAGCAGCCAGCAGCTGGGGGAAGACCCTGATCAGCCCTGATTGCCGGCCAGGCCTAGGGACCCTACCTGTGCATGTATTTCATGCACCAGGACTCTAGTGAAAGATAAATGCCCATCACATCTGGCAATGTTAAATGTACAGAAAAAGAGTTAACAGAGTAGGCCTGACACTGGTATCCTTAGAAATGCCTGCTTGCAAAGTTGGGCCTTGGATTTCACAAGGGTCCCCACCACTCTGATGAAAAATAGCTCACTGTACCTAAACAGTCAGTACACCCATGTGGCTTATGCTGAACAACTGTTTCTCTTCTAGGAGTCTGTAACTTTGGTACATATTAGACAGAGGGTATCTACGTGACCAACCCTCGATAAAAATGTTGGGCACTCAGGTGCCAATGAGCTTCCCTGGTAGACAACATTTCACACAAACTATCACAATTTTCTGGGGGAATTAAGAGCACCTAGTAAGACTCCACTGGGAGAGAATCCTTAGAAACTTGTGCCAGATTTCCTCCAAACTTCACCCATGTGCCTTTACTCTTTGCTGATTTTGCTTTCTATTCCTTTGTTGTAATAAATCATAGCCATGAGTACAACTATATGCTGAATCCTTCCAGGAAATCATCAAATCTGAGGGTAATCTTGGAGACCCCCAATACAGTTAAGGGAAGAAGTTAAAGTAAACATAAAGTTGACAAAAAGTTATTTTTATTTGCTTTGTCATTTATTTCAGGTAGAAGACTCTTAAGAAGTTTACATACCCAAAGTCTGGAATACCTGAAGAAAAACAAATTAAATTTATAGAAAAGTAAAAAGATAATTTATGGAATAAGTCCTTCAAAATCTTTGTTCTACCATGAAACTGCCCCAGATGATTTATGTTTTTACGGTAACATTCTTAACAAAAGAAGATACCTATAAGAAGCAATACTCAACATAAATGATAATAGTATTGAAATTACATGAACAAACCTTTAAGTATGAGAAAAGACAAAAATTGTTCAGATTTTAGATTTTCCCAAAATAAAGCAAACATTACTACAGGACCTAGTCACCTAAAACAAAATTTTTCCATTTAGATTCAGTAATCATGCAAAACTCATATTTATTTTTAAAGGAATTACCAGCAGAATCATATCCTCTGTATTCCAGTCTCTGAAGGCCTTTGATAAGGGTCTCCAAGATTTCTCGTCTTGTGCGAGGGACATGGTAGTTTAAGTAAGCAAATATACCTGCAAATAAACAAATACTTAATAAAAAATTCTGTCTAAAGATTAAAAATTAAGAATTATTACATAATCTTCATTTGCATAATTATGCCTAAGATGTGCAAAAATGTGAAGCTAGAGACCATCTTTAAAAGAGAAGTAAATCCTCACTTCAAAATGTCTAAAGGCAATGAAACTTTTTCAAAGGGGGTTTTCCATTTATAAAAGACTAAAGCAAATATGTCACAATAAATGCTCATTTTTGCCAAGCCAGTGTGACTTATAGGTTGAGCATTGACCTATGGACTAAGAGGTCACAGTTCAATTCCTGATCAGGTCACATGCCCAGGTTGCAGGCTCCAGCCCCAAGCAGGGAGCATGCAGGAAGAAGCCGATCAATGATTCTCTCTCATCATTGATGTTTCTCTCTCTCTCCCTCTCCCTTCCTCCCTTGCCGGGAGACGGTCCATCCTTGCTGTTTCAAGGGACCTGGCATATATGGCATACTGTTCTTAATATATTTGCTCACCTTCTTGGCACTATGTGTTTTAACCAAGGTCGCCTCTCCGAGAAAGGTTGTTTCCGCAGGTAGAGATTTTCCCCTGAAGTTAGTGAAGGAATAAAACCC